CTGATTTTAAGTGTGCAATTAATAATTTTTAATTTGGCCTGATGTGCTGTAATTGGTGTTCTGTCCTGGACCTAGTAAATGAGCAACATCTGAAAAACAGTTTCTTTTTCTTCTAAACGGGAAGACGACTTTCAAGGGGGGAATGCATCTGTTTCATTCCACTTGGAAAAGGGGGATTGTTAGATGCAGGCATACTCTATGAAAGGCATATGATTTAAGCCAACCTAAGTTATTAATTATTAGCTATTAATCTGAGATATGGCCCTAATAGAGAGAGAACATCTTGAAATGAAAACCCTGAAGTTTTTCACTTTTATAGTGACTGGAGGAGCATCATTCCGCATGAATTAATCAGTTTAACATTTTTAACAATATTGTTTTCATAAGTAAAACACTAGTGTAGTCTATCTGAGAAGCTATAGACTGCATTATGAAATACATAGCATGAACACAGAATTAACTCAGGTTAATTCTTTTACATGCAACATGAAAAATAATACAATTTATACCAATATCAGATTTACCTGCAGTTGTGTTGTAGGTGGTATTTGCCTGGCTCCTGGTCTTCCAGTGGTACTACATCTGCATATAATTTATTTTTGTTCCAGGATAGGACTCTTGTTCTTTGTATCAGATAGTACAGACATTTTGTAAGACTGACAGAGTTATGAAATGTGCATTAATTACCTTTCCTTTGCTTCAAAGCCCATGAGCTATTTAGGCACACCATTCTGGTGTACACTCAGGAAACCTGATGAAGTGCAGAAGGAGCATAGGTCGACAAGCCAGTTCCAAAGACAAATCTGCATCTACAGCAGTGTCTTAAGTTAAAACATGTCAACTTAGAAAAAGAGAGTATGTTCTTTTTGTATATAGTTTCAATGAACATTTTAGTCAGTGACTTGTCGGATTAGAGTATTTCCAGAAATGTTAATTCAAAGCAAAATATTTGGGGCATTTAATAGTGTTGCTATTTGCACCAGTAATATTCTCTTGGACAATCACAGAATTAAAAGCAGCAACAACTAGAACAACAACAACGAGACAACAAAAAAACCAAAACCCCAAGTGATTTATCTTCAGGTCAGTGTAACTTGCACAAGTTTATGTTCACTCAGTCATATGTGAATAAACAATCTGTAGATCAAAAATAGTTAGCATAAAATAATTTTATTGAATATTTCCATGAATTAATGGAAAATTGCATAATGACAGCTTCTAAATGAACAAAACTGAGAAATTCTCAAATAAGGAAATTTCTCTAAAAGCGTAGACTTGAATGCAGAAAGATTGTTAGCATTCCAGTTTACATATTGTCTAAGATAGTGATACCTGAAAAAATCATGGGGAGACCAGAGTGTCTCTATATCACACTGCCAAAGGTAGACTTTTAGCATTTATGTTTCTGATATGCCATCAATAAATGTAAATGCTAAAGTTTTCCAAAATAGTATTTTAAAACGAAAAAACAAGTTCCACTGTCTCAGTGTCTCCAAGCCAGAAAAAGAACTGAAAGAGATCAGTTATATTAATGGATTACTCATCAACTTTTAGTGAATTGGTGTTTCTTGCTTTAATGGTAATTTGTTTTGGCACTGAGAAAAAGTCTTTTATGTAAGGGTTAATAACTGGTGGGATGAGGCTGCTATTTTCACGTAAAGAAGAATGACCATTTTTGTGACATTTTCATCTTAAACACCATATCAGAATGGTATTTCCCATTTTCTTTATTTCCTCAGATGATCATTAGGTTGAGAACTAAAAATTAGTGGGTTACCATAGTGATTTTAGCTTCATTTCCCTGGCACAGAAGCCTCTGATGTTTACATCTAGTTTTTATCTTTTTTATTGAAGTCTGTTTTCCTCTGCTCAACTACAATTTGTGTCACAGCTTCTTTAACTTAATGACTAGGTGGATGTAAGGCTCTGGACATTAACTTTCAATGTTGTAATTTTTTTTTTTTTCTGTGAAGTGTATGAAGATTTCTTTAGTAAATGCTTGTTTGAAATAGCATGTATAGTATTTGTATTTTGATACATGAGAATCTTCCCTCTTGCTTGCAGTTGTTTCAAAGCTGGACCCTCTGAAGACTTCAGGAGCACCAGTTGATCACTACATGTTAGGAAAACGTATATCTTTTCATAGAAAATGACATGTTTTACCTGACCTGTAGTTTGATAGGAAATATAATAGGAGGTTACACTTAGAAAATGCATTCTTCAGACAGACACAGAGTAGTTTCTATAGGCTAGGAGAAAATACTTAGGTAAAAAACAATTGTTTTGTTGTTTCTTTAATATAAAGTAATTATCTGTGCAAGCAGAGATTGAAAGTCAAATCCAGCAAAGATAGTGGGAGAAATGTTCAATTAGTCTGATAGGAAAGCACTTGCTTTTACTGAGAAGTCAATACGAAAAAACCCTCATATTCTGGGGAACACTGAGTTTCGCTACAACGAGGCTTTCTGAAAGTATAAAAACCAAGAGGAAGGGTGTGAATTTAATTCCCACCTTATTAAATTCCTTAACTGGAATAGCAAACTGACTCCCTGGTCCATATTAGTGTCACCACATAGAGGAGTTCTGACAGAAAGTTGTTTTTCAAAAATTAGAATCATTATTGTTGTGTGGAAGGTATGTAATCTAGGAGAAGAAATCCCTCCCTCTTTGTGGGCAGAATCTGTCTTCAGAGATGCTGCCTCAGAAGATAT